TTGGGATCTGTCCTTTGTTGAATCACCATAACTCGGTTTGCCACGAATGGTTTCCATTGAGTAGCCAGGCCCTTTACCCAGTGTAGAGCAATCATTGAGTCTGTCCACAGCGTCACTTCTGAGAGATCCGACTTAAAAACTCCCTTAAAGTAGGCACATAGTCGAGCGCCCAGCAACGCTCCCATCAGTTCCAGTCTCGGTAGAGTCAAGGTCTTTACTGGCGCAACGCGCGTCTTGGCCATAACGAGGGTCACTGTCGTCTGGTTATCACAGTCACTACGCAAATACGCGACTGTCCCATAGGCCTGGGGGCTAGCGTCCGTGAAGACATGCAGCTCAGTTCGACCGCATAGCGACGAGGGATCGAAATGTCCTCGAGATGATGCAGAGCTTTTATCCAGTTGCTCCATCTCAGACTTACGCTTGCAGGTAGCGGAGTGTCCCAGTCGAGCCCAAGTGCCCAAAGTTCTTGAAATAACATCTTGGCTGTTATCGTCACTGGGCTGAGGAGGCCGAGGGGGTCGAAAATTCTCGCTGATGCTTGCAGTACAAAGCGTTTTGTGTCACGGTTGATTGTCAGAAGCTCCAACGTGCTTTCTAAAGAGTATTTAAGCTCGTCCCTCTCTCTATTCCACTTAAGTCCCAAAACACGCGTCACACCTGACCTCGGTGTGGGAGTATCACAGGAGAGGCTTCCAACCCCATCTTCGTCAAATCGTTGTTGCAATGACTCGCTGTTGGAACTCCACTTCCTGAGCTTCATTCCTGCTGCGCTCAATATTTGCTGGGCTTCCTTGTAGAAGTTTGTTGCTTCTTCAAGCGTTTCAGTGCCAGCAATCAAGTCGTCCACGTAAAGGCATTCGTCCAGTACTTTTGAAGTCTCAGACAAGTCGTCTGAGACGTTGGCCAGGTGGTGCTTGATAGTCGCTGCCAGCATGAAAGGGCTGCTCGTTGCACCAAATGGGACGCCCGTCATGCGCCATGCTTCAATCTCCGAACTTGTGAAGTCTTCTGTAGGGGAACGTGCGTACCACAAAAAGCGAAGGGCATCACGATCCTCCTGCTTGATCAGAATCTGTAAGAAGGCCTTCTCAATATCTGTGGTGAAGGCAATCGCAGGACGTCGGAAGTTGATGATCAGCTGTAACATGTCCGGATTGAGGCTTGGGCCCGTAGACAATGCATCGTAGAGGGACAGACAGCCCGGTGCCTTTGCAGACGTATCAAACACGATGCGTATCAGTCGTAGAACTGTCAGGTCTAAAAACAGCACGATGAGGCAAGTAGTAAACTCGTTTCCAATTGGTATCCACCTCGCCTGCTGGCACTTTTTCAGCAAAACCTTCTTTCAGGTAGCTACGGATCGCTGAGTCGTACTGCGTCAGTCTTTCGGTGTTGCCTTTTAAACGCCGAACCAACTTGTCTAGACGCTGTAGCGCAACGGCTTCGTTGTTCTCTAGGGGTCGATTTAGGGGCTTCCATGGGAGGTTTGCCTCATAACGGCCCATGACCAGAGCTAGGGAGGAAGTGAAATCTTCTCTTACTTGTTCTTCCTCTTTTCAGCGCGGAGAGTCGTTCACGGAGATTCCGAGGCTCTCCAACTCCCAGAAGGCTCGAAGTTCGTTTGAGAGGCTCAGGGTCGGTTTTGCGACGCCGGTGTTCAAGACGGCCACAGTAGTGCAGGACAGCACAGAAGAAACCTGAGGAACTGGGCCCTGCAGTCTCCAGCCAAAGTCCGTCTTCAGCGCGACCAAGGATCCGTGTATCTTGCGGACTTCCCCGCTCACCATATTCCAATAGTGATCTGCCCCCACTAGGATTTGAATGCTCCGCTTGGAATTAAGGAAGGGTGAAAGGGTTACATCGGCTAATTCTAGCTCTCCCACGCCAGCAAGGTCAACCACGTTGTCGGGAAGCACCAACTGGTCAAAACAGATGTTTTCTATTTCAAGGGCTTCCAAGCAGTGTTCTTTGCGGCTGTATTGGCTTCGCAACCAAAGTCGCACTAGCCGACGTTTTCTCGTAGTTCCACCGGCTGTTCTGCCAAACGAATAGATGGTCACCTCCTCCTCGCCGATCACTTCCAACCTCAGCTCTCGTGAGAGCTGCTCGGTGAGGAACGAATGTTGGCTGCTTCCGTCGAACAGACAGCGAGCAAGACGCTTCCGGTCTCGTCCGTCTACCCATACTTGAGCCGTTTGTAGCATTACGGCGTTCTTGTTGATGGCATTCAAAGACGCCAGGGAGTGGAGCTCGGTAGTGCCGGTCGCTCCTTGATAAGACGGAGGTGACGTACCACAAAGTGGAGTGATATGGCGTCGGCCACATTTGTCGCAGCGAAGGAACCGATTTCGACATTCTTTTGAGGTGTGTCCTCGCTTCGCGCATCTGTAACACCTCCCTTCGCTCCTTAGCCGTCTCTTCTCTTCTTCGATCGGAATCGCAGAGTTACATTGCGGCGCTTCATGTAATTCGGAGGAACAAAGAGGGCACCCGTCGTTTGAGGGTTTGGCACCAACTGCGAGGAAAGCAGCAGACCCCTTTCCTCGGAGGTTGTCGCTTGATCGATCTCTGTCGCTGTGTATTTTCAGAGGTTGCGGTTGGTCCCGTGTACTGCCGTCGTGTACCTTCTCTCTGCTATCCAGCTCTACACGCATCGATCGCAGGACAGCCTCAAGATTTGAGCTTTCCGGTGTTTCATTACTAGTACTCTGACTCTTGTAGAAGTCCACGGCCCAGTCAGCGGGCAGGACGCAGAACAACGCAGCACACAGCATTGCCCCGTAGCTGTCAGAGTCGATGCCCAGAGTCCTCAGCGAAGCGATGTTGCAATGAACGTGATCATGTAAACGACGGAGGGCTCCGACGTCACTCAGCGCCTTCACTTTTGGCAGGTTCAGCAGCTGCGTGAGGTGTTCTTGAACAAGGACGTCTTTCTTGCCAAATCTTTCTTTTAGAAGCTCCACGGCATAACCGTAGCTGCTCTCCGTTGCTTGAATGCCGCTTACCGCCGCCGCCGCCTTGCCCGTCAGCACCGTCCGCAGGTATAGAAACTTCTCCACGCCGGAGAGCTCGATGTTGTCGTGGATCGCCTGTCGGAACTGCTCCCAGAAGGGAAGCCAATTCAACTTCTCTCCATCAAACCGTTGGAGTTCGAGCTTTGGAAGTTTAAGCTGTCTAGCTCGCCTCTGGGTTTGAGTGGTCGATCGTTCTGTGGTCTCGGTGACCCTGCTCTCGATAGATGACGATGTCCTTGTCTCTAGGCGTCGAAGACGTGTCCGCATTCGGGTGATCACACTTTGTGTCTCCCTGACGGCCCTGTATTCTTCGGCGAGGTTCTCGCTCTTTACGTGGACCTCGATGAGCGCATCTTGCTCCTTGAGTTCCCTTGCCAGGACATCCAGCTCGTCCGTTATTTCTGCGAGGCGTTCTTCGTGATGACGCCTGAAATCCTCAATTGACACCGCCGCTTGGATCTCCTCGCTTAGATGTTCAATTTCGGCTCGCGTCACCAACCTTTTCGTCTGGAGCCGCTCCATGTTCGCTTTTCGCTGATCTCGTATTGTCGCTGGAGTCCCGGATTTCGGCACCAAAATATTCGATAATTTAGATCACTCCGGTTTACAAAAGAGATTTATACAACATATTTACAGTCTAGACATATGGAGGGCTCTTGAAGGTTGATGTTGCATCGATCAACGGTTCCAACTGGCTCTGCTCGCGCCGGTAGCCTCTCTTCATCTTCTTCTTAGCACATGCTCCTTGGTCTTCTTTTCCTGTGAGATGTGTAGTCGGGCGCGTATCCACATTTAGCGAGAAATGTCCTCAATATTTAAAACTATTAGTGCTTTCTAGAGATATTCCGGCAAATATAAAGAAAGGGTCAGCAGTTCCTGAACTCATAGTTATTTTCAATTTACTGCAGCCTTCGCGGGTCCATGAGAAGAAAAAAAATTTCTATGGCGTGCTTCTAATCAATATTTTTTGACAAAATGCGCCGCAAGACAGGTACAGGAGGTGGAAGGCAATAGGAAGTGCTAATTTCAACGAATTACTTTTTCCGTGTCTTGCGGCGCATTTTGTCAAAGGAGATCATGTACCAACTGGCCCATCTGACAGTATTTATTCAAATCAATAGTTTTAGCATTTTGCTGAGAAGAGAAGAGAGGAACAAGGTGTGGTTTTCCCAGTCATGAAATGTACCGGCCTCTTCCAGCGGTTTGAACGGAACCAGCGAAGCCTTCCAGTGGCTTTGTGAGGGTGTGTGTTTGGGGGAGGCAGGCGCGCCTTACCTTACAGTCCCTGTTACTACCGTCGTGGTCTTCACAAAAATCTGCGTCGATTTTTTTATATATACTTTGTTTTATCGTACCTTGGCAAAGATCGAACGCTGCGGCCCCTCTGGACCAATGATAGCAAAGGAGGTGAAGCAAGGGACACCCCACACCATAGGTACGGTACGAGAGCAGAACCCAAGCAGTTGCAATGGAGAAGAGGAGAAGGAGGAATGCTTATTACCCCATTAGTGAAGATTGTTGGGCGAGTTGGTACTGGATATTCAAAATCAGGTAGTGCTCCAGATGATGACAAACTAGGAGACTGGCCAACACATAGCGCCGCTACCCGAACCCTTTTTAGTGGGTTCGCCCACTAAAAAAGTGAGATTAGTGAGACTAGCCTATTACTCAAACATTGTACAGAAAGCTCCCTTCCCGTTTCTTCCGCCCGTGGCTTTGACAGCAATGCGCACAGCTAAGAAGAAAAAGTATAGTCCCGTGCCTCCCTCCCACGCGCTGATTGGCCCACTAGGACCGTAGCCTTCTCCGTTTGCTACGTTCCGGTGAAACGGAGTATATTACTTGGTGCATGAAGCTCAGGTAGCTTCACCGATACGTTACATTATTAAGGCACGCATTCTGGACCAGTAAAGGCAGTACATCGAAGAATCTTTGCTACACGGACGTTTTCACATTTCTGCTTCTGCCTATTCCCACATTCAGGGCGACTCCGGAGGTCCGTTGGTGCTTCCTTTCGAGGGCCGCTACTACGTGCTCGGCGTGGTGTCGTCCGGGAAGGACTGCGCCACTCCGGGCTTTCCGGGCATCTACACCAGGGTGACCAGCTACCTGGACTGGCTCAAGGGCATCATCAACTGAAAAGGCCCTTCCACTCAGTGTCCCATTATCGGCTCACTCTGCGTCGTTTGGACATAATGACAGCAAGTGTGAGACCAGCTGGCCCAGTGCACCGAGGGAACTTGGAATAAAAGCGTCCTGCGGAGAACACAAATATTACAAGTCTAAACGACATTGCGGATGGAGCCGGTGTCCCCCCGCGAACTTGTCTTTGCTGTACTCGGTGTCAGACATGTAGTTTTCGTTTTCCTTTATTCGGATAAACCTGGGGTTGGGTTACCTTGCTTCGGTAATCCTGTCTTTTGTCGTCTCCCTCTCCCTCTGAGCGAGCAGTCGGGCCAGAGTAATTTCCACAGCGCCACTTAGCATTCGGGGAAACTAGGAAGCGTAATGATCACTCAAAATGCAGTGTGCTGTCTTTCCGCTTCACACGTATAACAAATCCCACCCTCAGAACAGCTGGGCCGTAGATGGCGCCCCATGATTGCCATCGTCATGTGCGCCGTTCTCTCCGTCGCCTGTTTGGCTCAGTGTACGCCGACAATTCTCGCTGATAATGGCTAAAATACGCCCATCGGTGAAGTTCAAATTGTGGTCTTGCCTTACGTAAATTACTCGTCAATTTCAAATTGTGTAGCCAATTAGTGATTCTGGAGATATTTCGCGGGCACAACATTTCATGAAAAGGAATAATTTAAAACTTTGATCGTCCTTACAATATTTTTACCAGGTCGCAAAAATTAGGGTTTATCGTTTTGGCCTTAATATGCACCGTGTAAAATAAGCCCGTAAACTATTTTTATTTTATGGTCACCCACTTGGGAATCATGCGCCAATCAGGCGTACCATTGATTGAATCAAGTATGAAATAATGAATAGGTCGAATGGCAATAGACTGAATTTGTCCCAGCTGGTAAGTGACAATATTCCAACTGTCGCGAATTGGAAAAAATAAAGAATAGGAATAACCTCAAAACAAGTTTTGATACTAGCCTCGCATAACGAGCGAAGAGGTGGGGAAATCGTTGGAGAGATATACCGGGCGTTTCAGCGAAGATTGACAAAACTTGATAAAAAGTACGGTTCGAGCTAAAATGTAACCTTGCTGGAACATTCCCAGCCTCGTCGGACGTCTGGGAACGCAGAAAAATTACTAATTAGCTATCTAATTAACACTAATGTACTCATTATCTGGATAATTTCTTGTTTTATGTCCGATGTTGCAATTGCTATTTTGAAGAAAACAACCGGAAAAGGCATAATCAATTTACAGAATTGAAAGAAAAAAAATTGTAACCGCCTTGGAGATATTCATCAACCAATGCTGGTTTCTCTCCACAAGGATTTCGAAATTCGACGCGAACTGTCACGCCTTTGGAATCCATGTGAAGAAAGGCCAACATTTGTCAAAATTGGTCGATGTTCGTTATTTTGGTCATTATCCATGTGGCCATCTACATAAGTACGGGTCTATGCTGGAACCTTCGATCTCTGTGGCACGACAGACGAAGTTGATAAAGTGTGTGCTGCCGAGGTCGACAACGGCTTGCTCGTGGAAGCTCTATCTCTTGCCTACGGCACTCACCAAATATTGCGTGCAAAACAAAGAAGAACTTCATACCAGTCATGCAGGAAAATTTACCATTGGCCCCGAGGGACCTACACTCGCTGTTCTGCTGTTGCATCTCGGGGAAGCGCGCTCAAGATTGATGCTGAAGAAATAAAAAACGCCGAGCAGTCTTCGACAGAGCTGACAGCAAGTGGGATGACATCGAGACTATCACGCGCTTCGTCAATTACCACAACATATATATATATATATACATATATATCTTTCTGAGATTGTTAGCACGGTATATCGCGAGATCGAAATACCTCAAAAGATGAAGGACGTGAAGGAGGAGGAGGAGGAGGAAAGGAGGGTGCGAGGAGGAGCGGGGGAGAGGGGAGAAGCACGGGAGGAGGAAAGGAGGAGGAGGAGGGGAGGAGAGGGTACGAATGAGGCGGAGGGGCACACCCTCCCCTCAATACCCTACGCTCCTCCGCCTCAAGAGGTGCGCTCTATTTTGGCATTAGGCCTCATTCACACAGCCGGCGCCTCTGCCATCCCGGCACCGTGACGGGAGCACGCCGGGGCGGGGACGCGACGGCAGGATGACCGGACAGGCCGCGCATGCAAAGCGGCGGCGGCCGCGACGGTAGGACTGGATTTGATCGGATTGCGACCACTCATTGTCAGATAGGAATAATGATTCTATTCATTCTTTTCTAATAGTTCTTTTAAATGTTTGAAACGGCAGTGTATACGCTTATTTATTCAGCTTAATTACAAAATAAAGAGATAATTGTGCCTGAACATTAGATCCCGCGTTTCTTTTTGTTTTGTCTTTTTTGTAAATTAAGGATTTGCGTCTGCTACGTAGAGTTATTACAATAAACGCCAGAGGCTCAGCTGGCGCTAGTTTCTACGGGACTTCCGGTTGCAAAATGAGGAAGACAGCAAGCAGTCTACTTTTCCAGCCTTCCTCTGTATTCCTATGGGAAAACGTCCGTGATATTTTTTTTTCGCCAGAGAATAATAGAAATCAGCGTAGTTTCTTTACCCGTAACGGATATTATATAGCTTTATTCACATTATAGAAATGTCATTTTATTAGTTAATGAGTTTTTTTTTTGTTACTGAGCGACGTTTAAATTAGCAAAAATTGGGTCCCGTATCTATGTTGTACAGCATGGTATGTCAATACAAGCTATCAAATGCCAATACAAGCTATTAATCAATAAATACGAGCTATCAATACAAGCTATCATTGATTACGTATGTACTCTTTGTCACTAATCCAGAACGTGTTCTTCGTTCCATAGCTTTATGCCTCGCTCTCGTCGTCTGTTTTTTTTTTGGCATATATTAGCATCCTTTTGGTATTTTGTCAAGCTCATTCACTCTGTGTTCTTCACATCATTGACTATGTGCTTAAATGCGTCCACTATAATAGCAGTCTGCAGCGTCAACACGTATTAAACTTGCGTATTGGACTATTCTAACGCAGTGTTGGACGCCGCGAATTCTAAAGAAAAACGCTCTGTCTGACACATTTTTGAACATCCGACTGGAAAACGTTCCAAACTTTTTATACTGTCGCAACAATCAGCAAATGTTTTCTCTTATAATCGAGCGCGAAAAGAACACGAATTTGCGTTTTCCCATAGGAATACATTACCGGAAGTCAAATTTAGACTGCTTGCTGTCTGCTTCAAAATGCAACAGCCCACTAGCGCCAGCGCAGCCCTTAGCGTTTATTTTAATAACTCTTTGGTCTGCTATTAGCCATTCCCGCCGAAAAGAAACAACAAAAGCAACACAACAAGTGTTGTTTTTGGGCGGGACTCCGTCATCCGCCGGGACGCGGGTACCGTAGAGCAGCTCCCAACGTCGCCCGGCCCCCGGCGCGGCACAGCTTTCCGTCGAAAACCGGGCCGAAAATCCTCTCCCGTGACGGGAACGCCCCTCGCGACGATGACGGGATGGGAGAAACGACGGTTGTGTGAATGAGGCCTTAGGCCTCATTCACACAGCCGGCGTTTCGCCCCGTCCCGGCGAAAGCACCGTGGGCGCCGTGCCGAAAACGGGACGGTGCGGGGACAGAGGAGTGTTCGAACCAGCGGCGACGGAGCTGTCGGCAGTGGCTATCCCTACTGAAAAAACCCGTATAAAAATTCATACTGGTTGACCCGTATACCTCATACGGTGTTATGGGATACGGGTCTCCCGTATGCTACAGGGAACCCGTACCTGTACAGGTTGACCCATTCAGATACAGGAACCCGTACCTGTATGGGTTGACCAGTTCAGATACGGGACCCGTACCTGTACGGGTTGACCCGTTTAAGTAAGGGAAACCGTGCCTGTACGGGTTGACCCGTTTAGATATAGGAACCCGTACCTTGCAGGTTGACCCATTCAGATACAGGAACCAATATTTATACAGATTCACCTGTTCAGATAGAGAAACCTATATCTTTACAGGTTTACCCGTTCTGACGCAGTAATAGGAATCAACATGGTGTTGAACGTTTGCATACGGACGTACGGATCTTTGCAAGTTTAACAATTCGCATGCATTTGTCATGCAAAAAATGAGCATGAGCCAGGTCATTTCAGGTTATATGTGTTTTTAGTGAAGGCAAATTGGCATACTGCAGAACATCAACAAGAAGCTTAACCTCTAAGCAAGCTTAGAAGTCACGCTTCTTGTTAATATCCTGCAGTAGGATATTAACAAATTGGCATACTGCAGTAGGTTGACCCGAGCTGTCCTCTTCCCTGGAGAGGCCTCTCGAGGATGCCTCCATATGTACTCGTTGAAGGCATCTGCAGGGGAAAATAATACAACAATAAGTCATGTATATCTACAGTTTCTCGAAAAATTTAATATTTTACTTCCTGCAATTATAAGCAAGCAATTTCCACTACAATTTATGCTTTGTTAATATCTTGTGATACCATGTAGACTCCAAGAGCAACTTCTTACGATTACGCAGTCTGCTGAAAACAGCAGGTATGCACGATTCGGCCAGAAAGTTTTGAACCAGTTCAGACCGAGTTCGGAGGAGTGCAGAAGCAGTGCGCAAGTCGGGCTGCGGCTGCGTGAAGTTAAGCTGCAGCGTTACAAACGACCCTGTAATTGGTTTCTGAAAGACCGAGGAGTTTCCACCTGTTACTGCATGAACGCTGAACTGACTTCAGCCAGCGCAAGATTCTGTGGAACTTAGGCTGAGCTCGTGCAGCACTGGGATAAATCGAACAGGCCAGTTCAGCGTCCAAGCAACTTCCGATTGAATCTAATGCATCAGTTCTCACACTATTTGAACTATATGGGCTGGTTCAAGCAAATCGAAAAGACCTAGTGTGACTTCCCACAACTATGCACTTAAAGTTTGTTTGCAATAGTGTGTTCCTCGCATTTCAGTGTCTATAAACATTATAGACCCTGGAGCAGGGGGACAAAAAGGAACGGAAAGAAACGAAGCTCTGGAGCTTTATGTCTGTCTGTCCCTTTTTGTCCCCACGCTCCCGGGTTACTACGTCTATCCTTAACCAGCTCGCCTGCCTGTTAACTAAAATGAAAGGATGCTCTAT